TACTAGATGTCTTGCGTGTTGATACCATTAGCTTGGCCTTCTCCTAATTTATTACTAAGCCCACTTTCAAAGAATCCTTCTCAATTTGTTCAAATTTGGCTGTAACCGCTCGCAATGTTCGACCCATTATATCGATGTCATCGGCATAGGCGTGTAACATTTGTTGTTTAGTGTCAAGAGTATCATTTCTGTCCACCTTTGCATCTCGTATGATCTTTTCCAGCAGGATGTTAAAAAGGTCACACGACAAGCTGTCATCTTGTCTGAATGCTCCTTCGGTATTGAAGGGCTCTGAAAGGTCCTTTTCGAATTTAACTGCTGACCTTGTGCCAGTTAAAGTTTTCCTGCATAGCCGTATTAATTTTGCACGAATGCCAAACGCAGACATGCCTTTAAACACCTCTGAGCGGATGGGGCTGTCGAATGCAACTTTACAGTCGACGAATAGGTGGAATGTGTCGATGTGTTTTTCGTGGGTCTTTTCCAGGATTGGGGCAGAGTGCAAATCTAGTGTATGTTGGATTTGCAAGGTCTGAAGTCGCATTGATAGCACTTTTTATATGTGATGGAAAGGAAAATAATCCGCCTACAGTTAGACATATGTACCAACTCTGAATTCTGAGGTTCCAATCATTAGGCATGCATTCCTCTAACCTATTTATACTAATCACCTGGTGCATGCTCCTCACCATCATCTGACCACCGGGCTTGAATACGTCGACTTGTACCTGCTGCTTAATTATTATTGCTACTCTGACCTCTTCTTCACTATTTGATACCAGATGCTTTTCAATATGCTCCTTCCACATCCTCAACACGCTATCTGTATTTGGCACCAGGATTCCATCTTCATCCTACAAGAGGATGTGCCTGCACCAAAGCCCTTGGTTTGGTGTTTTAGAATTTCCGTAGAATTTCCGCCCTCTTCTGACTCCTGTACATCTAGATTTGCTCACGCTTTTCTTGTTGTTTCTTCTTTTTTCTGAAAATACGTTTCTCCTCTCTCATTTTCTCCCGATAATTCTCAATCGCTACTGTCAGCAGGGTTGCCTTATACGCTACGTTTTTCACATCAGTAGAATGGTAGATCTTAGCATGGGTTTCTTGACGGTGGTTTTTCGTACTCAAGTGTTGCTCTTGCTGCAGTTTTTAGGGATTGAGCAATTCTTTGCCATTGTGCATCTATATTTTTTATCGGGACAAGGAGTGCTCCCATCAACTTGGTGAAGAAGTGAGAAGACTTTCACAGGGAGGAGAATGAAGAATATGAGGCTTGGACGGGTATTCAATGGCAATTCTGATCTAACACTGTATACTTCAAGATTGGGAAGGTAAGGATTTGAGAGGAGGTAGCCATAAAAACCTGTTTAGAATTATATATCGCTTCCATAAGTATCTTCGTCCGATTTCATGACATTTTCGTGAGGCTTTGAAGATATAGGTTATCCGACCTTTGTGAACCTTTAAAAATATTTTAAAAACTACCTACCTTTTATAAGGTCTTAGAAAAGAATTAATAAAAAGCCTTGCCTGTTTGAAGGCCTTAGAAAAATATAGAGTTGGTTAGTTCCGGAACGAACTAGTTCAATGGAACTATTCCGAGAAAGGAACGATCGGAACTAGTTCCAATACTTTAATTAATTTAGGATGTTAAAAAGGTCACACGACAAACTGTCACCTTGTCTGAATCCTCCTTCGGTATTGAAGGGCTCTGAAAGGTCCTTTTAACTGCTGACCTTGTGCCAGTTAAAATTATCCTGCATAGCCGTATTAATTTTGCAGAAATGCCAAACGCAGACATGCCTTTAAACACCTCTGAGCGGATAGGGCTGTCGAATGCAACTTCGGTGGAATGTGTCGACGTGTTTTTCGTGGGTCTTTTCCAGGATTGGGGCAGAGCAAAAATTTAGTCTATGGTGGATTTTCCAGGTCTGAAGCCGCATTGTTATGGTCCAATAATGTCACTGAACATTGACTTCAGTCGTCTGCACAGCACGTTGGATAGCACTTTATATATGTGATGGAAAGGAGAATAATCCGCCTACAGTTGGTATGTCTTTTCTCCTTTTTTGTGCATGTGACACAGAATTCGGAGGTTCCAATAATTGGGCATGCATTCCTCTAATCTATTTATACTAATCAGCTGATGCATGCTCTCTGACCACCATCTGACCACCGGGCTTGAATAGGTCGACTTGTAATCCATCGGCACCTGCAGCTTCATTATTGTTCAGCTGATTAATTGCTACTCTGACCTAAACTTGCCTAGGTGGTATACAATCATTATTGGCTCTGGGGTATCTTCTTCAACGCCACTATTTCATAGCAGAAGCTATTCAAAATGCTCCTTTCACATCCTCAACACGCTATATTTGGCACCAGGTTTCCATCTTCATCTCTACAAGAGGATATACAGCTCATGGTTCATTCGACAACGATATTCACCGTCGACGACACGTCTGACTATGTAGATGTCCGAGAATAGATATACAACTCATGGTTCCTTCGACAGCGATATTCATCGTCGACGCAGATCGACACATATATCTTCCGAAGAATTGTTTTCTCAAACACTCCACGACCTGCTTCCATCGGCACCTGCTGCTTCGCTGCTTCATTATTCTTCAGCCGATTAATTGCTACTCTAACCTCACCTTGACTAGGTGGTATACAATCATTATTGGCTCTGGGCTATCTTCTTCGCCGCCACTATTTGATACCAGAAGCTTTTTAAAATGCTCCTTCCATATCCTTAACACGCTATATGTATCTGTCAGCAGGTTTCCATCTTCATCTCTACAAGAGGATGTGCCTGCATCAAAGTCTTTGGTTTGGTGTTTTACTCGTTGGTAGAATTTCCCGACTTCTTCTGACTACTGTACATCTCGATTTGCTCACGCTCACGTTTTTTTTTTTTTTTTTGTTCTTTCTTCTTTTTTTTCTGAAAATACGTTTCTCGTCTCTCCTTTTCTCCCGATAATTCTCCATCGCATTACGTGTTGCTAGTGTCAGCAGGGTTGCCCTATACGCTACGTTTTTCACATCAGTAGCATTACGGCACTCCTGATCGTATAACTCGTACTCAAGTGTTGATCTTGCTGCAGATTTTAGGGAGTGGCCAATTCTTTGCCATTGTGCATCTATATTTTTATCGGGATAAGGAGTGCTCCCATCAACTTGGTGAAGAAGTGAGAAGACTTTCACAGGGAGGAGAATTAAGAATGTGAGGCTTGGACGGGTATTCAATGGCAATTCTGATCTAACACAGTATACTTCAAGATTGGGAAGGTAAGGATTTGAGAGGAGGTAGCCATAAAAACCTGTTTAGAATTAGATATCGCTTCCATAAATATCTTCGTCCGATTTCATGACATTTTGTGAGGCTTTGAAGATATAGGTTATCCGACCTTTGTGAACCTTTAAAAAATATTTTAAAAACTACCTACCTTTTATAAGGTCTTAGAAAAGAATTAATAAAAAGCCTTGCCTCTTTGAAGGCCTTAGAAAAATATAGAGTTGGGTAGTTCCGGAACGAACTAGTTCATTGGAACTATTCCGAGAAAGGAACGATAGGAACTAGTTCCAGTTCTTTAATTAATTTAGGATGTTAAAAAGGTCACACGACAAACTGTCACCTTGTCTGAATCCTCCTTCGGTATTGAAAGGCTCTGAAAGGTACTTTTAACTGCTGACCTTGTGCCAGTTAAAGTTATCCTGCATAGCCGTATTTATTTTGCAGGAATGCCAAACGCAGACATGCCTTTAAACATCTCTGAGCGGATAGGGCTGTCGAATGCAACTTTATAGTCGACGAATAGGTGGAATGTGTCGATGTGTTTTTCGTGGGTCTTTTCCAGGATTTGGGGCAGAGTGAAAATCTAGTCTACGGTGGATTTGCCAGGTCTGAAGCCGCATTGTTATGGTCCAATAATGTCACAGAACATTGGCTTCAGTCGTCCGCACAGCACGTTGGATAGCACTTTTTATATGTGATGGAAATGAGAATAATCCGCCTACAGTTGGTATGTCTTATCTCCTTTTTTGTGCAAGTGACACAGAATTCCGAGGTTCCAATCATTGGGCATGCATTCCTCTAACCTATTTATACTAATCAGCTGATGCATGCTCTCTGACCAGCATCTGACCACTGGGCTTGAATAGGTCGACTTGTAATCCATCGGCACCTGCTGCTTCATTATTCCTCAGCCGATTAATAGCCATCCTGACCTCACCATGGCTATGTGGTATACAATCATCTTTTATTGGCTCTGGGTATCTTCTTCACCACCACTATTTGATGCCAGAAGCTTTTCAAAATGCTCCTTCCACATCCTCAACACGCTGTATTTGGCACCAGGTTTCCATCTTCATCTCTACAAGAGGATGTGCCTGCACCAAAGCCTTTGGTTTTTTTGTTTTACTCGTTGGTAGAATTTCCCGACTTCTTCTGACTCCTGTACATCTCGATTTACTCACGCTCACGTTTTTCTTGTTCTTTCTTATTTTTTCTGAAAATACGTTTCTCCTCTCTCCTTTTCTCTCGATAATTCTCCATCGCATTACGTGTTGCTACTGTTTTTCACATCAGTAGCATTACGGCACTCCTGATCGTAGCATGGGTTTCTTGATGGGGTTTTTCGTACAGGGAGGAGAATGAAGAATGTGAGGCTTGGACGGGTATTCAATGGCAATTCTGGTCCAACACTGTATACTTCAAGATTGGGAAGGTAAGGATTTGAGAGGAGGTAGCCATAAAAACCGGTATTAGATAAAATAAAACTATCCCGCCTATTTATCTATATATTAGAGTTTAAAAAATTGATGCTTCATTATTTTCCCACATTTATTGATTGAAGACACATTCATATATGTAGATGTAATTGATACGAATTCGATTTTTTTACAATTTTTAAATATTTTGTCATGTCCGTCCTTTTATATACACTTATTGTAGAGATAGTCTATTGAAATAAATCGATTTCCATGTCATAAACATAACCTCAATTCAGCAACAGAAATCCATTAATATAGTAGACCAACGCCAGGCTATTAATGTGATTCGTGCAATTGCAATCAATTTTACTTTCGCCATTGATGAAGAGGCAAAGACAGTCGTTCTCCTGGGGCCAATTGGAGACAGTTACCAAATTGTGCCAGTTCATAAATTCAACATAACCAAAAAGGCCGCAAATGACATCTGAAAATAGTTGGGCGAACAGAAACAGATATTTAATTTCAATATTAATTTCTCTCCCACTTACTTTGCTCCAAATATAAATCCCTATAGGCATCTGGAATATTCATTTGACGTATGACATTTTGCTCCCGATAGACTTGTGTACACTTTTGGCTGGCCAATATCTCATATGCAGTATCCGAACCCAATGTGGGGGCACAAATGTGATGCATAAACACATATAAAAGTAATATTCTGGAGAAATATATATAATAAATATTTAATGATAAATATTAATAAGAGTTTAATATTTCTTAATATATAATATTTATTGTTGTTTTTTTCTTTTCTTACTGATGCATTCTCTTATAGCCATATGTTGGCAAATCGGTAACCATAACATCCAGACATTCTTGCGGCACTTGACACCGTGAATCCAATGTAGCCATGGCAGCCAGACACTCATCAGATTGAGTGATGTTGAGATTACCCATTTTCGCCAATTGTGAATAATTGCGACTCAACGATTTATATTCAAAGTGAGTATCAATGTGACGTTTCTTTAGCTGGGGTGGCTTGAGCAGAATATTTTTCTGGAAAATGTTATCTAAAACTAAAACGGGGATTTTATTACGAATTAAAATGGAATAGATTTAATTGTTCCGACTAGTTATACTTGTTTTATGAACTTTATCGAAATCCGCATCTTCACTGCGTCGTATGACATTATCTAATTTTTGTAGCAGATGATAGTAGACCTGTTGCTCGTAACGATTGGATTCTATGTAGCGTTGACTTTCTGTAAAGAAAAAAAGAATGAATGGGGGAAATAGTTACTAGAAAAATAAAAAATCGTATTGGAGTTTTTTTCATTTTAAAGCGATCAGCGCTATATTTCCGCCCTCTAGTGTGGTATAGGGTTACTAAATAATATCTGAATACATAAGCCCCTGTAAATGTTTAAGTGTAACTCCCACATCTGAGTACGTACGACCATATAATTGGTATCAATTTAAAGGCCAACCACTGCCCTTGGATATACCTACACCTTTTCGGGTCTATGTCATTCAGGTGCGAATCTATACGCTATAGAATACAAATTTTGTAATTTTTCACACAAAAGTCAGGATTCATTTGACCCGCTAAATATTGACCGATCCTTATCAAAACATTCATGCTTATTCTTTGACCCGATCCCCTTCTCTATGTAAAAATTCCCGATGTTTGGGTCATAAAAAACGATAAAAATTAAGTATTTGGTCCATTTCATCCCCTAGATATTAACCGATCTTTACTAAAAACAATAGGGGTCTTCATTGGGCAGAACCCATCCTACATGCAAAATTTCGTGAAGATTGGTCCATAACTGTGGCCTGTATCATGTTTACAAAATATAATGGACATACGGACGGACGGACACACATTTCTAGATCGACTCAGCTAGTCGAGATATGACGATCGGTATACTTAAAGGTGGGTTTAGGAAAAATATTTCGCGGCGTTACAAACTCTTGGGGCTACACAAAGCTATAATACCCTGACAACATAGTTGTGTAGGGTATAAACACTGTGAGACAAAAAGAGCTTTTGTTTTGGGTGTGAAAAATTCCTTATGGAGATGAAAGCCCTTTGCCAGTATATTAAGAATCCAGAAGAACAAATTCTTCATAGGTCAAATTTTAGAGTTGTGTTGGTAAGCCTAAAGTTCGTGAAGTAAACGATTTATGTCGTTGTCCTGTCTCTATCTCGAGTCCTAGAACATTTTTTACCCGTAAGCTATATTCTGCAAGACGGGATTTTTTTGACCTCCAAATGTGCCATGTTTTTTCTTCGGATTCATGGCCTTTTCTTTCTGTGTGAACCATCAGCTGGTTCGCTTTTATATGCTTATTGAGCTGGAGCATCCTCATCCATTCTCACAACATGACCTAACCAACGAAGTCGCTGCAGCTTGATACGTCCGACTAAGTCGATGTCGGAGAGTAGATATACAGCTCATGGTTCAACAATATTCACCGTCGACGATACGTCTGACTATGTAGATGTCCGAGAATAGATGTACAACTCATGGTTCATTCGACAGCAATATTCACCGTAGACGCAGATCGGCCCATAGGTCTTCCGAAGAATTTTTTTTCTCCACGACCTGCTTCATCTGCTTGCACAAGTACCCATGCTTCAGATCCATACAACAGCACGTGTAGTGTAAGCGTCTTGTAAAGTGTGAGTTTAGTTTGGCGAGAGGACCCCTATTCTTGAATTGATTACTCAGACCATAGTAGGATCTGTTGGCCAACACTATTCTTCTCCGGATTTCAAAACTACACTATCGTACACTATCTCGAAGCTGTGATTTTCAAGTTCCACAGTTGGTCCGAGTCTACTGGATGTATTGTGCGTTGAAACATGGTCTTCTCGACATTTACTGCCACTCCCACTTTGTCAGACTCCTTCTCAATTCGTTCAAAGGTGGCGTTTCCGCTCGCAATGTTTGACCAATTATGTCGATGTAGTCGGTGTAGGCGAGTAAAATATGCTGTTTATTGTACAGAGTGCAATTTCAGTTCACATTTTCATCTTGTATGAGCTTTTCCAGCGGGATGTTAAACAGGTCAAGTTGTCTGAATCCTCGTTCGGCATTGAAGAGCTTTGAAATGTCCTTTCCGAATTTAACTGCTGACAGAAATGCCAAACGCAGACATAACTTTATGTGTCGATGTATTTTTCGTGGGGTTTTTTTCCAGGACTTGGCGCAGTGTGGATGCTGAAGTTCCAATCATTGGGCATTTATTCCTCTAGCCGAATTGTATTAATCAGTTGGTGCATGCACCTGATTAGCGTCTGACCACCAGCCTTCAATAATTCGGTTGGTAATCAACCGGCACGTGCTGCTTTATTATTTTTCAGCCGACTAATTGCTATTCTGACCTCATGTTGATTAGGTGGTATACAATCTATACCGTCATCTCTTATTGGTTCTGGGGTACACTGTTACTATTTGATACCAGAAACATCACAAAATCACATCACAGATACTCAACACGCTGTCTGTATCTGTCTTCTTCATCTCTACAGGAAAATGTGCCTGTACCAAACCCTTCGGTCCGGTCCGACTCGAATGTCTATTCGTTCTTTAAAATTACGAGTTGACCCTTCTGTAAATTGTCCTGCCGATTTTTTCCATGCGTATCTTTGCTGCAAGGTAGCGAGGTAATCATTGGTTTAGCACTTCCAAAAATGGGATTTAATTTTCTTTGGGGGTTGGTGGTTCATCTAATATTGGACGGCCAATTAGAAAATGTCCCGGAGTAAGAATATCTAGATTCTCATCACTGCTAATCAATGCATACAACGGCCTCGAATTCAACACTGCCTTTATCTGTGCTGAAATGATATATCACCATCGACTCTTAGATTCCTTCGAAGTGAGGATTTGCCAGTGCAATTAAATGCCATTTAACTATTTGCCTCTCTAATATTTCTCCAAATTTGTTCATACAGCAACCTCAAAGTCGGCATCCAACTTCTTGGCGACTTTCTCGAAGTTTGTACCATTGTCGGAGTACATGTCGCTACTTTTACAAATTTCGAAATTTTTTCATACAGCACCCTCAAAGTCTGCATCCAACTTCTTGGCGGCTTCTACGAAGTTTGTACCATTGTCGTAGTACAAGTCACTACTTTTACAACTTCCGTGCTGTTATATGGGTCTGAAGCATGGTCACTTGAGAGAAAAATTCTCCGAAATATCTATGGGCCGATCTGCGGTGAGTATCGCCGTCGAATGAACCATGAGTTGTACAATCTATTCTCGGGCATCGACTACGTTGGCTAAGTCATGTTCTGAGAATGGATGAGGATGCCCCAGCACAAAGGGCATATAATGAGCCAACTGATGGTTCACGCAGAAGGGGTATACCACGAATTAGATGGAAAGATCAAGTGGAAGAGACATTTCGGAACATGGTCTTTCAAATTGGAAGAGCTGCGCGCCTGAAAATCTTTTTTAAGCTCGGCTTATGGAACAAATGTTCTGTCACAAGCCAGCTAAGTGAGTACTCGCAAAAGCTGCATCCAACTTCTTGGCAGCTTCTACGAAATTTGTACCATTGTCGGAGTACAAGTCACTACTTTTACAACTTCTGGAAAAGAACCAATGTAGAGCTGCTATAAATGATTTCGTATCTAGCCCACTAATGGAATGGACTGCCATTGTCGTCATACATTTGATGATTTCTGACCTCTACATCATCTCCATATTAGCTGTAAAAGTCCAGCAACCGCTTCCAGATGGACTGCCATTTTCGCCATACATGTGAAGACTACAACAAAGCATTTAAATGATTTCTGACCTTATCTCCTCTCCATAATAGCTGTAAAAGTCCAGCAAAATCGCCACCACCGTGTTAAAATGGTACAGATACACCGACAGACTCAATACTGCGGTAGGATGCCTATTAACGGCTGCATATCCTAATGTCTGTTTGGAGTACACACGACATATTTTCTTTTTTCGTACTACACTCTCCGTTAGTCGATTTTCTCCAAGCAAAGTGTTAAGACGAGCCTCTTCAATAATCATATCGACTAGTCTCGACATAATTTATCAATTCTCCAGAAGATAGAGTTGGGTCATTCCGAAAAGAAGTAGTTCAAAAAGGAACGATCAGTACTATTAAAAAGTCTAAAACATGGCCTATAAATAAGGTCACCCAGGGAGACCAGCTGATAATCGATACCTCTCAAGTTTGCTGTCAAAATTCATTATTGTGAATTGACTTCCATTATGAAAACGTAAACAAAGTCGAAAATATTGACATTAGACTTGAGAAAAAAACAGCTGTTTTCCGATTTCGATTGCTACCTTGGTGACCTTATTAATAGATCTTGGTCTAAAAATAGAATTCGACCCGTAGGGGATCGGAATACTTATTTAGGCAAGTGTATTTGTCAGTTGATAAATTTAATTATTCCCCAATCACTTAGCAACACTCAATTCGAACAACCACAAATAAAACGGCATGTTCTGGCATTCACTTCAACGGCAGAAGTGTATCGAACACACGCCGAGGTGTTCTGTAACACACTTTACACCCATTTGAAGTGTATTCTTTACACTTACATTTTCATAGTGAGAGTCGGGTGTATTCATGTTTTTCAAATGTAAGAGACAATTTTTTTTGAAATAAAAAACGCACATGATGATAGATTGATATGTTATTATTGCGTATAATTTGTTTAAAATCACAAAAAGGACATGAAGCACCATTAAAAACAAATTTTAAATAGATACTAAGGTTTGTTTTGAATTTTCTTCAACTGAATTTCTTGCTTGACACAAACAGCTGATTTGAAGTAAGGCCGAAGAAGATAGGGTTACCAAATGTTCCCCTTAAATCAATCAACAAATTAATAATATTACAGAGTTTTTCATACATATCGGGTATGTTCTGGAACTCACGGTGTGTTCTTTTCACATTACACATACACTTCACCTCAGAAGCTACCTCCTGTTCTGCTTCTCACGTGAATTGAAATTTTGAACTGCGACAAAAATAAACGTCGACATGGTACTTTGCAGAAATATTGTTGCCATACAATATAAACTGTATTCGTTTTTAGCATTGCTTCTGTAATTCTTTAGTAATTTCGTTAATTCTAACGACAATTTTATTATTTTTTTTTAATATTTTATTATTCGCAACATAAAATATATGTATGAAACCTCTGTAATATCATTAAATTGTTGATTGATTTAGGGGGAACATTTGGTAACCCTATCTTTTTCGGCCTTACATCAAATCAGCTGTTTGTGTCAAGCAAGAAATTCAGATGAAGAAAATTCAAGTATCTATTTAAAATTTGTTTTTAATGGTGTTTCATGTTCATTTTGTGATTTTAATCAAATTATACGCAATAATAACATATCAATCTATCATCATGTGCGTTTTTTATTCCAAAAAAGATGTTCTTTTATATGAAAAAACAGGAATACACCCGACTCTCACTATGGAAATGTAAGTGTAAAGAATACACCTCAAATGGGTGTAAAGTGTGTTACAGAACACCTCGGCGTGTGTTCGATACACTTCTGCCGTTGAAGTGAATGCCAGAACATGCCCGTATATTTTATGTTGCGAATAATAAAATATTAAAAAATAATAATAAAGTTATCGTTAGAATTAACGAAATTACTAAAAAATTACAGAAACAATGTTAAAACCGAATACAGTTTATATTGTATGGCAACACTACTTCTGCAAAATACCATGTCGACGTTTATTTTTGTCGCAGTTCAAAATTTCGATTCACGTGAGAAGCAGAACAGGAGGTAGCTTCTGAGGTGAAGTGTATGTGTGAAGTGAAAAGAACACGCCGTGAGTTTCAGAACATACCCGAAAATCTTTTAATTCTCTTCAACAGTTTTTATTTACTTACGCTTGATGAGAAATTCACTTAAAATCACAGCAAATTTCATATTCACATTTATGTCATTGCTCCGCTCGACCTTGGTCAATAACTGCATAATGCTTTTAAGTAAAAATCCTTTGGAGATGGTCTTTTGTGTGATGCGATTTGCACTGACACCACCAACAAAAACTGCAGCACTGCCACCACTACCACCAACACTCTTTGTCCTGCCCAGCGGACAATTTGCAATTGTTGCCGCAAACAATAGATAAAATACGAATATTTGTTTTAGAAATTTCATCATTCCGCTGCAGGCTCTACAAAACGACTGTTTCGACAATCAACGATTTGCGTTACCACATCAACTATTTGCGACCCGCCATCGCCGCCCTGCCCCACGCAGCCAGGAATTGAATTGCAATTTTGTTGTTTTTGTGCCACTGACTGACACACAGCATACATTCAGAGGTCTCTTTCATTCGCCTGTCAGGGATAATCGCATTTATTCAAATTGATGACAATGACGGAATTTGATTTACTCCACAAATCCAAACAAATTACATGAATTTATCATTGAGTCCCGAAGTCATTTGCCAAATGTAAAACATTCGAATAAACACAAATAAATGTTCATCTAGTTTTTGAGTTTTTTTTTAATATAGATATGTTGCGGTTTGTGGTATTTAAAATAGAATTTGATTGCTGGAAAATAAATAAAAATTAAGCGTTGCATTTTTATGAATTTATTTGATCCACAAAAAAATAAGTGAAATCTACATTTTGTCATCTATTTGGATATTTGATGCAAAATGTGATAAATTATTTTATTGGCTTCAATACTGTAGGTTCTCATTGGGCACTCGTCAACGTTCTCACTCATCTAGCAAAGGTGCGATCGAATGTAATACGGAAACTCGACGTCGAAAAGCTGTAAACACAACAGTTAGCAGATGCCTACTCCGCTCAAGTTACCCACTTGTTTGACGAAAGCACTCCTTGTCCCTATAATAATAATGAAGCACAATGGCAAAGAATTGCCCACTCCGTATAAACTGCAGCAAAAGCAGCAATTGGGTACCATGGTACGTTCAGGAGTGTCGTAATGCTAATGAGGTAGCAACCCTGCAAACAGTGGCAATACGCAATGCGAAAGAGAATTATCGGGAGAAAAGGAGAGAGCAGAAACGTATTTTCAGAAAAAAAGAAAGAAAGAACAACAAAAACGTGAGCGTGATCGAAATGTACAGGAGTCAGAATGAAGTCCGGAAATTTTACCAATGAGTAAAACACCAAACGGAAGGCTTTGGTGCAAGCACATCCTTCTGTAGAGGTGATGTGAGGCAGATACCGACAGCGTGTTGAGAATCTGGAAGGAGCATTTTACAAAACTTCTGGTATAAAATAGTAACGGTGAAGAAGATACCCCAGAGTTGACGACATAGAGTGTATTCCACCTAGCCAATATGAGGTCAGAATTAGATTTGGGTAGTTCCGGAACGAACTAGTCCATTGGAACTATTCCGAGAAAGGAACGATCGGAACTGGTTCCAACTCTTTAATTAATATAGTTTCTTTTTCTGATCTCGTTCCTTTTTGATATCGTTCTTTTTCTGATCTCGTTCTTTTTTGAACTAAAAGGAACTATAAAAAGCACAGGAACTATAAAGAGCAAAGGAACTGTGTGTAGTAAAGGAACTATATTGAGTAAAGGAACTATTTGGAGCAAAGGAACTATTTGGAGTAATGGAACTATATGTAGCAAAGGAACTATATCGAGCAAAAGAACTATTTGGAGCAAAGGAACTATAAGGAGCAAAGGAACTGTATGGAGTAAAGGAACGATATGGAGCAAAGAAACTATACGGAGCAAAGGAACTACATTAAGGAACTGGTTTCTTTTCAAAGGAACTGTGTGTAGTAAAGGAACTATATTGAGTAAAGGAACTATTTGGAGCAAAGGAACTATTTGCAGTAATGGAACTATATGTAGCAAAGGAACTATATCGAGCAAAAGAACTATTTGGAGCAAAGGAACTATAAGGAGCAAAGGAACTGTATGGAGTAAAGGAACTATATGGAGCAAAGAAACTATATGGAGCAAAGGAACTACATTAAGGAACTGGTTTCTTTTAAAAAAAAAAGGAACGAGAAAGGTCGATCCGCTACGTGAACTAGATTGCCAAACTCTAGTCAGAATAGTAATCAATCGGCTAAAGAATAATAAAGCTGCAGCTGCCGATTGCTTACCAGCCGAACTATTCAATACTGGTGATCAGATGCTGGCCGGGAGCATGCACCAACTGTTTAGTTTGGCTAGAGGAATGCATGTCGAATGATTGGAACATCAGCATCCTGTGTCCCGTGCGCAAAAAAGGATAGAAGATATGTGCCAAGTATAGAGGAATAAGTCTTCTTCCCATCGCATATAAAGTGCCATCCACAAAGATAGCAGTTAAAGTCGGAAAGGTGCCATTTAATACCGAACAAGGATTCTGACAAGGTGCAGGTTGTCGTGTGACATTTTTCTGAACAGAAATGGCACTCTGTACACCAAGCAGCATATGTCACTCGCCTACGCCGACGACATCGACAGCGAAAGCAGATGAGGCAACTCTTGGAGACTCCGTCGAATTAACATTCAGTTGTACCATCTATTCTCGGACATCGATATAACTTAGACGCAGGGATGGTCCCTGTGACGAAATTTTAGGATTTCGACTGTCAAAAAGGTGTAAACATCAAAACGTCATATACCTGTATAAAATGTAATAAATGTAGTAAATTTCATTTATTTGAATATTGTTACCAATACAATTATTTTCAAAAATATATTATTTTTACATATATGTGACTATTCCTTACCATAACTGATAAAAAATTCTAAACTTTTTGGAGAAAAAAATTTTGAAATTTTGTATGGATTTGTTTACTTAAATCCATATATACGTAATTTCCAAATTGATCTACGGAAATAGCTATTTTGTCAAAAGCCTAATGGTTTTGGGTGGGTTTTCGACGTTTCTGACGAATGTATTATGCGTCGAAAATGTATGTCATTTACGGCACTGTTTCTGACAGACCATCTCTGGTCAGACGTATCGAGCTGCAGAGACAACGTTGGCTAGGTCATGTTGTGAGAATGGATGAAGATGTCCCAGCACAAAAGGCATATAAAAGCGAGTCATCGGTTCACTCAGAAGGGGAAAGCCACGAATTTGATGGAAAGATCAAGTAGATGGCAACATTTCAAAACATAGTCTTTCAAATTTCACAAGATCGGCGTGTCTAGAAATTTTTTAGCTCGTCTATGGATCAAATGTTCTGTCACAAGCCAGACAAGTAAGTAGTAAGAGTCTTATTTCATAAAATTCTCCATACCAAAAATTATCAAAATTGGAATGACCCCATTATTCGGTATTGTGGAATTTGTAAACTAAAAAAATATGAATAACGGCCCTCGTTATATTCCGCATATTCGATATCAATCCATTTTCCGTATTTTTAAGGTTTTAAGGGAACTTGTTTTTTTGTAAAAAAAAAAAATCAAAAATAGGAGATTTAAAAAAATTAAATTTAATATTTCCGTCATTTTTTTGTGCGATGTAAATAATCCTCGCATTGATGCTCAATGAGAACGTGTGCTTTTGGAAATGTCATTGGAATTGCAATGGGACGTGTGGTGGCGCCATGATAAAATTGACTTTTATGCAATTCAGTAGTACAATGGAAACATCCTCAGTGGATATGAATTTGCAAGTATTGGAATGTGATGCATATGCCATTTGCAGGCGTTAAAATCCGCTGGAAATGTGATGATGTTGGTGGGACAGATGTGTACGCAATGGAGATTCCGTGATGTTGATTTGCTGCAATTGTTGTGATCGCGGTGCTTGAGATCCCCTGATATCGGATTTTGGATAGATCCTCTCAAAAGGAGAGATGTGCTATGCAAGCGATAGTAGGAGTAGATGCGAAATTTAAAGTTCTCTGTCAGATGTGAGTGAACGGACGGACGGAACACGCGTAGAATGGACGTGGATTTTTGTTGTCATCAGAGTGTAGTTTGCATCGCAAAAGTAAGTGTACACAATG